CTCACGACCTTGTGCTTGCCAGGCAGGCGCTGTGCTGCAGAGCTAAATCCCCAGCCCCTTATGAAGTTAGTTTATTATCCTGACTGAAGTCCACAGAAGGATTGGGTAGTCATAAACACTGTAAAATCTTACGCAGAGTGATACGGATATTTGCCTGAGGATAGAGACCATAGGTTTTTATCAGTATGTGTTTGTGACACATAATGAACATATTCATCCTGGGGAGTTGGTATATGTACATGAATCCATGGATTTCACCAGATTTCAAAAGGATCCTGAACCCCAGTAAGGTTTAGAGATTCTGTGCTGGAAGCTCACTGAGGCTCATGGAGTTTAGTGTAGACCTCAAGTCTTTTCCGCTTTCTTTTTCTCCCTACAGAGGCAGGCATTACTGGGTACCGACCACCCAGCGGCTCTTTGGGGGTCAGATCGTGGGCCAGGCCCTGGTGGCTGCAGCCAAGTCTGTGAGTGAAGACGTCCACGTGCACTCCCTGCACTGCTACTTCGTCCGGGCAGGTAAACCCCGACACCCTGGCTCCCTGCTTCTAATCCCATGCTGGCGGCCTGGCAGCCACTTCTTCCTGGGCTTGGGGGCTGACTGAAGCAAAAGGATGAGAGAGGAGGAGAATCTGAGAAGGGGAGGGAGGAGGGAGAGAGAGAAATAATCCCCTAAGAGATACCTCTTAGGAACAAGGTCTGGGGCCAACCAAGAACCTTAGAGCTCCCCCTCCCCCTAGACTCACTGGGTGTTGTCCTTTGACTCATAATGACACGAGATTTTGTTGGTTAACTGTTCCCAGTGGACCTCTCGTTCTTCATTCTTTACATACTTGTGGTGCAGAGACTGACAGAACCTCGTAGGCGTGTGGTAGCCTCTGCTAGGACCTTTGAGGTGGGCAGTATAGGTTGGGAAGAGGAAGCACTAGTGCGACAATCAAGAGATCCAGGTTCCAGTTTCAGCATTACACTACTGTGATGACCTAGAATGAGGTTTCCTCCCTATCCTAAGGCTTGGTTTATTTTACTTTATTTTATTTTCTTGAGACAGCATATTTTTAATTTAATTTATTTTTTGAGACAGAGTCTTGCGGTGTAATTCAGGCTGGCCCTGAATTCACTATGTAGCCCAGTCTGGCCTCAGACTCGAGGTGATCCTCCTGCCTCAGCCTCTTGAGTGCTGGGATTACAGGCGTGCACCACCATGCCAAGCCTGGGCTTGGTTTATTCTAGCTGTGACATGGAGGAGGGGTGGGGCCAGAGATATTTTAGTAGGATGATTTCTGTAGGCGTTTCAGCTCTTATTAGCTCTGTGGTCAAATAAAGGATATATATAAAGATATATATATGTTTTTTAATTTTTTGTTTTTA